GTTTGTGAGTCACCCACTCAGAGGTTATGGGATTTGATTTTATCGTGATTGCGCCCCACTTACCATCTCAATGCGGCTTTTCCTTTGTCTTTAGATGTGGGGTATCTTTTTTGGTGAGTTCCAGTGTCTTCCTGTCGATGGCTGTTCAGCAGTTAGTTGTGATTCCAGTGCTCTTGCAAGAAGGAGTGAGCACACATCCTTCTACTCCACCATCTTGAACCAATCTACCTGTTGAATTTAATTCAGTAAACATTTATTGACTTTTGAATTGATTTCTACAAAATATTTGCGTGTTTAATATGTATAAAGAAGTGGTTTTAGATCAGTTAGCCTGACCTGAATTTATTTCACACACATGCATTAAAATATTAAATGTTCATGAAGAAATTGGAACCCTTGTGTAGTGTTGGTGGGGATGTCAAATGGTGCAGCCACTGTGAAAAACAGTATGGCAGTTCCTTAAAAAATTAAAAAATAGAGTTTTCATATAGTCCAGCAATCCACTTCTGGGTATATAACCAATAGAATTGAAAGCAGGAACTCAAACAGATATTTGCACAGCCATGTTCATAGCAGAATTATTCACAGTAGCCAAAAGGTAGAAGCAACCCAAGTGTCCATCCACAGATGAATGGATAAACAAAATGAGATATATACTTACAATGGATATTATTCAGCCTTAAAAAAGGAAATTCTGACACATGCTACAACATAGATGAACTTTGAAGACATTATGCTAAGTGAAATAAGCCAGTCACAAAAAGACAAATACTGTATGATTACAGTTTTTTAAAAAAATTATTTATTTATTTTTGGCTGCACTGGGTCTTCATTGCTCCGTGTAGTCTTTCTCTAATTGCGGCGAGTGGGGGCTACTCTTTGTTGCAGTGTGCAGGCTTCTCATTGCGGTGGCTTCTCTTGTTGTGGACCACAGGCTCTAGGCATGAGGGATTCAGTAGTTGTGGCACACGGGCTCAGTAGTTGTGGCCCGTGGGTTCTAGCGCACAGGCTTAGTACTTGTGGCACATGGACTTAGTTGCTCCATGGCATGTGAGATCTTCCCAGACCAGGGTTTGAACCCATATCCCCTGCATTGGCAGGCGGATTCTTAACCACTGCGCCACCAGTGAAGTCCCTGAATACACTTTTATGAGGTCCCTAGAGTAGTCAAATTCATAGAAATAAAAAGTAGAATAGTGGTGGCCAGGGCCTGGGGGAGGGAGAAACGGGAAGTTATTGTTTAATGGGTACAGAGTATCAGTTTTACAAGTTGAAAAGAGTTCTGGAGATGGATGGTGTACAACAATGTGAATGTACTTATTTGTACACTGAACTGTACACTTAAAATTGGTTAATATGGCAAATTTCTTTATGTGTATTTTACTACAATAAAGAAAGTTAAAAAAGGTGTTAGACATCTATAGCATTGTACAGGCATACCTCATTTTATTGCACGTTGTAGATATTGTGTTTTTTACAAATCAAAGTTTTGTGGCAACCCTGCATCGAGCAAGTCTGTAGGTACCATTTTCCCAAAAGCATTTCTCACTTCATGTCTCTGTGTAGCATTTTAGTAATTCTTGCAATATTTCAAACTTTTAAGATTATTATTATATTTGTTATGATAAACTGTGATCAGTGATCTTTGATGTTACTATTGCAAAAAGATTACAACTTGCTGCAGGCTCAGATGATGGTTAGCATTTTTTAGCAGTAAGGTATTTTTTAATTAAGGTATGTACTTTTTTTTAGACAATGCTATTGCACACTTAATAGACTACAGTAGTGTAAACATAACTTTTATATGTACTGAGAGACAAAAAAATTCATGTGACTAGCTTTATTGCAGTATTCATTTTAAAATTTTATTTATTTATTTATTTATTTTTTTGCGGTACATGGGCCTCTCACTGTTGTGGCCTCTCCTGTTGCAGAGCAGAGGCTCCGGACGCACAGGCTCAGCGGCCATGGCTCACAGGCCCAGCCGCTCTGTGGCACGTGGGATCTTCCCAGACCGGGGCACGAACCGGTGTCCCCTGCATCGGCAGGCGGACTCTCAACCACTGCGCCACCGGGGAAGCCCTGCAGTATTCATTTTATTGCAGTAGTTTGGAACCAAATTTGAAATATCTCTGAGGTATGCCTGTAATGCTAAAACCCCTCTCTTAATTGCTATGGTTGCCAGTCGTAAGAGAGCTCAGTTTCTGCCATTTCTTCCACTACTTCTATGGGTGAATATTTATGGAAGTAAACTAAATAATTACAAATGACAATCTAAAAGTAGGAGCCTATATTAAAGTCCAGCATAGATGCTAGTCCAGCAGATTATTTCTAAAAGAAAAGCTGGAGATTTTTCTTTCATGAGCATCTTTAGTACCACAAACTGTAAAGATTTAGAGGATCCTGGTACATTTAAGTAAGCTGTATAGTATTCCATTGCATAAATATACCACAGCTTTACCATTTTCTTGTTGGATATTTGGTTTATTTCCAATGTTTTATTGCTAAAATCAGTTCTACAGTGAATCTTCATGTATGTGTCTCCTCGTTGATGTGTACCAATATTTCTCTAGTGCATGAGGAATTGCTGGGTTTTGGATTTGTCCATATTCAATTTTGCTAGATATTACCAAGTTGCTTTCCAAAGATATTGAACCAGTTTATTTTTCCTACCAGCAGTATATGACAGTTTTTAAAGCTCCACATCCTTGTCAATACTTGGCTTGTCAAACTTTCATTTTTGCCAGTCTCATGGGGATGAAATTTTATCTTATTATTCTAATTTGCATTTCCTTAATTACTAGTGAGCTTGAACATTTTTTCAGATGTTCACTGGTTATTAGTTTCATTCTTTGAAATGAATTTCCACACTTGTGAATTATCTTTTAATATCTTTCCCCAAATTCCCGTTACGGTGTTTATCTTTTCTCTTTTGAGTTGTAGGAGTCTTTCGTGTCCTTTGGAAAAAACTTTTGTCTGTTACATACATTACACATATCTGCTCCAGCAATCTATTAGCTTATGATTTTATTTTGTTTATGGTTCTCTTTTTAATACATAGGTTTTCATTTTTTTAAAATAAATTTATTTATTTTTATTTTTGTCTGTGTTGGGTCTTCGTTGCTGCGCACAGGCTTTCTCTAGTTGTGGTGAGCGGGGGCTACTCTTTGTTGCGGTGCTTGGACTTCTCATTGTGGTGGCTTCTCTTGTTGTGAAGCACGGGTCCTAGGCACGCAGGCTTCAGTAGCTGTGGCACGCGGGCTCAGTAGTTGTGACTCATGGGCTCTAGAGCGCAGGCTCAGTAGTTGTGGCACATGGGCTTTGTTGTTCCATGGCATGTGGGATCTTCCTGGACCAGGGCTCGAACCTGTGTCCCCTGCATTGCAGGCAGATTCTTAACAACTGTGCCACCAGGGAAGTCCCAGGTTTTCATTTTCAATAGACAAATTTAGCAACACTCTCCTTTGTGGTTTATATCTCTTTATCAAATTGAATAAACAGAGCTATTTGGTGTCAAATTTATAACTTTTACTGGGGTTTAATAAGAAAAGGTTTGTATATTTTAGTTTAAGTGTAATGCATCTTGGTTGATGCTCCTTGGCCAAAGTAATTTATTTTTTTGTATGACTCATTGGTTCAAGTTATTACATAAGTATTTTTAAAACGTCAACTTACTATCTTTACTCTTTGAGTGATGATCTCTATTAAGGCACAGTTATGTAAGTGTGGAATGCACCTGATATTTATCCCTGATGTGCTTTTATCATTACAAGGAGCCCCTCCTCCCACACAACACCCTCCTTCTATTTTCTTCCTCTCCAATTCCATCAGTGACTTTTTTTTTTTTAACTTGAGACATTGTCCACATGTTACTAGATTCATTAACACAGTTGCAAAATTCACTGCGGGCTCTAGGAATAAGTGAATTCAGGTTTCAGACAGGCAATATATTGGGAGGACCAGAAAGGTAATCATACCACATCAGGAAAAGTCTCACAGGCTCCCAGTTATGGAATTTGATAGGTTCATATTGGTACAAGAAAAAAATGACACAATATTGGACTATTTCCAGATGATGCCCTAAAGCTATGGGAAAACACTATGAAACAACAAAAAGCCAAATACAAATGCAATTTTAGGAGTGAAAATACTTAAACTTTTGCAAAGGACTTAAAAACTATAACTGAATCTGTGTATGTATTTAGGAGAGGGAATGTCAGAGGTCATTTGCATAAATAATTCTTGATGTGTGAGAGGCAGAGAAATATGTTTTGACCTTGGCATTTTGACCTCGAGGAGGTTTTGACCTTGACATGCAGCATAAACACATGCTTTCTGTCTCCTCATTTTAATCTCTCCTTTCTCTACCTCTCCCAGTGGGTTTCTGTCCTTTAAGCCTTCCCCGCTTCTCCATCTTGTCCTCTTTCCCTCCACCTGTCCCTCCCCTCTCAGCCTCCTTTACCCACTACTCCATTTTCTAAATTCACTTCCTCTCTTATCCCTTCTCTGTCTCCCTCCATCCCTCCAAGTCTGATCCAAAATTTTTTGTTCAGTAGAAATAATGGTTGCAAAAGAAAACTCACATTTGGCAAATGCTTAATCAATAAAATATGATATGGACAAAAGCCAATTAATGAATCAAATTTCTACTGTTAAGACAAATTAAAAATAATCTTAGGAAAATAAAGATAAAAATGGAAAAACAAAATTAGAAGCAGATAGATTGCACTGTTTAGGAAATTGATTAAGGTATTATATCGACTTAACTTCATTCCAGAACATACTTTTTTGATGATAACTCATAAATGCTGATATAGTTCCAATGAAAATCATTATATTCAAACAATCATTAAGATCATAGTAATGGGATTACAGTATCCTCCATATTAGAATGGAGGTGGGGTCATTGAGAGCAATAAATGAGAGTAATAAATGTATTTATCCAAAAAGATTGCAAAATAACCAACTTTTTCTCAACTCTTTTTTCATTCTTGGTGAAGGATCTTGAAGCAGCCTATCACATTACAGATATCCATGAAGCTTTGGCATTATCTGAGGTGGGAAATGACAGGAAGATGCTCTTGTTTGGAACCCAGGTGACTGAGAATGGCTCAGAGATACCCTCCATCATGCAAGATGCCAGAGACCTGATTGCACAGCTGGCTGCAGACATGCAGTGATCAGGCCTAGGCCCACTGTGAGGCTCATGATTTGAATGTCACCAGGGAATGTTTAGCGGCAGGCTAGAAGCCAAAAGTTTCCACTTTCCAATAAAAAATAAGGCATTTCCTATTTTCTCAATGCAGGGCATATACACATATATAAGATAATGTTAATTGATTAAGACTTTCTCTATTTATATTTTGAACTTTAAAAATATTGGTAAAACAATGTATTTGGAGGGATTTGGATCTTTTTTAATTTTTATTTATTTTTGGCTGCATTGGGTCTTTGTTGCTGCATGCGGGCTTTCTCTAGTTGCAGCAAGCGGGGGCTACTTTTCGTTGTGGTGCATGGGCTTCTCATTGCGGTGGCTTCTCGTTGCGGAGCATGGGCTCTAGGTGCACGGGCTTCAGTAGTTGTGGCACATTGGCTCAGTAGTTGTGGCTCGCAGGCTCTAGAGCGCAGGCTCAGTAGTTGTGGTGCACAGGTGCTTCATTGCTCCATGGCATGTGGGATCTACCCAGACCAGGGCTTGAACCCACATCCCCTGCATTGGCAGGTAGATTCTTAACCACTGCGCCACCAGGGAATTCCCGGGATTTGGATTTTTAATCAACCAAATTAAAGTGAACAGTAGGAAGCATTCATTCCATTTGTAGTTTCTCAATGAAATGAGATTTACATTAAAATATTTTAATAACTTTTGTCTTTTCAAGTAAAAATCCAGGTGTCTTTCCTTTAAGTGGATCCATTTAACACTGTAGGGAAAGAAATATCAGGATAGGGCAATAAGAAAAGTAAGCACTATCAAACCCACGTAGAAATATAAATTAACAGCATTCAGAAAGATTTAGGAAAGGCTTCTTTTTAAGAAACTATTGCACTAAAAGAAGAACACCATGAGGATTTGTTTTTTAAATTCTTGATATTTAGCTTTTTTATATAGATAAGCTTTCTTTACTAGAAATATTTTGTAAGAGTGATAACTCTGTTTACCTACAGACATAAATCCAACTTCGAACCTTAGTGTCCTGTCTTGATCTTTTTTTAAAAAAAGAAAAAGGACTTCCAGTTTTGAGCCCAGCATGTAAGAAGCTTGGAAGCCACCACTCCATTCTAACAAGTTAAAAAGCTGAACAGACTAAAAAATCAGCATTGGAGGGAGCAACAGGAGAATACAGAGATTAACAATTTACCAGAGCAGAGACTTATAGTGGGAAACTCCCCATGGGATAGAAAAAATGGAACGGTGACTGATGAATTGCTGGTTGCTCAAAGTGGAGTAGTCTGAAAGTTAAAAAACTCTAGGGGAACCCAGTCATTGGAGGGGCCCCCAATTATTTGAGATTTACCTCCAGAACCTTGACCAGATTCCTATAATAAATATTGGAGAGAAATCCCCTGGTGCTTCCAAGGGAGGGGAAAATATTTTTTGAAATATGCCAGAGCACTCTGTCCTTCTTAACAAGGCCTGCCCTCAGGGGAAACTAGTTAACCAGAGGCTAGCCTGCTGGGTTATTACCAGAGCCTAGCTGACCTGGGGGAAATACCCAACTCCAGCCCACTCTAGACATTCTGTTCCACCTAAAAGTGCAGAAAACTAAGATTTAAGTTTGCAGTCCAGCAGCACTTAGTCTCTAAAAGACTAAGACCTAATCATAGGACTATAGAACGCTCCCCCTCCCCGCCCCCCAACCTCACCACCACATTACTAAAGGCCTGTTTACAGCAGCTCCTTTTACCCAGTACATCATGCCTGGCTATCAAGAAAAACTACAAGACGTACTAAAACACAAAACTTACAGAAGAGATACCACAAGCACAATACAGAAATGAAGAATGTGTTTAGTGGGCTTGTTAAAAGGCTGGACATAGCTGAGGAACAAATCTCTGAGCTTGAGAGTATCTCAGTAGAAACCTCCAAAACTGAAAATCTAAGAACAAAGACTAGAAAGAAACAGAATATACAAGGATTGTGGAACAACTACAAAAGTTGCAACATGTGTGTAATGGGAAACCAGAAAGAAAGAAAAGAAAGGAACAGAATAAATATTTGAAACAATGACTAAGAATTTCTCCAAATTAATGTCAGACACCAAACCACAGATCCCAGAATCTCAGAGAACACCAAGGAGGACAAATGCCCTCCCCCACAAAAAACAAAAGCAACAACAACAAAAAACTATAGATAGGCATATCACTTTTAAGCTGCAGAAAATCAAAGTTGAAGAAAAAATCCACAAAGAAGCCAGAGGAAAAAACACCTTACCTATAGAGGATCAAAGATAAGAAGTACATTAGGCTTCTCAGAAACCATGCAAACAAGAAAAGAGTGGAGTAAAATATTCACAGTGTTGAGAAAAAAAAAACCGTTAGCCTAGAATTCTGTACCCTGTGAAATCCTTCAAAAGTGAAGGAGAAAAATTTCTTAGACAAAAATTGAGGGAATTTTTTGCCAGTACTTCTTTGTTGCAAGATATGTTAAAAAGAAATTCTTTAGACAGAAGGAAAATGATATAGGTCAGATATTTGGACCTACATAAAGGAAGGAAGAACATTGGAAAAGGAATAAGTGAAGGTAAAATTAAAACTTTCATTTGTCTTATTCTTAATTGATCTAACAGATTAGTTTCTTCAAAATAATAATAGCAACATTATATTTGACTATGTATGCTTATATGTGTGTATAAATGTTATGACAGCAATGATACAAGGGATGAGAGGGAGGAATTTGGATTATTTAGTTATTATAAGGTATTCACATTACCTGTGAAGTGGTATAGTGTTATTTGAAAGTAGACTTGGATTCGTTGTTAATGTATATTGCAAACTCTAGGGCAACCACTAAAAAAAATAAAAGAAGTTATAACTGATATGCCAAGAAAAGAGAGAAAATGAAATCAAATAAAATGCTCAATTAAAACCACAAAAGGTAGAAAAAGAATGGAAGACAAAAAGAGAAACAAAGAACTGCAGATAGAAAACAGTAAAAATATGGTAGCTATTAATCCAGCTAAATCAATAATCACTTTGAAGGTCGGTGGTCTAAATGCACCAATTAAAAGACAGAAATTTCAGAGTGGATTAAAAAATAAAAGATCCATAAACTCACTTCTTGCTTACAAGAAACTCACTTTGAATATAAAGAGACATATAGATTAAAATTATGTGAATGAAGAAAGATATAACACAATCAAAAGAAAGCAGGAGTAGCTATATTAATTTCAGACACAGAAGATTTGAGAATAATGAAAGTTATCAAAGATAAAGAGGGGAATTATACCTAAGGCACAAGCAACAAAATAAAAGATAAGTGGGACTACATCAAACTAAAAAGCTTCTACACAGCAAAAGAAACCATCAACAAAATGAGAAAACAACCAATGGAATGGGACAAGTATTTGCAAACTGTATATCCGATAAGGGGTTAATATTCAAAATATATAAAGAACACATACAACTCAATAGCAGAAAAAATAAAATAAGAAACGGAAAAGGACCTGACAGACATTTTTCCTGAATAAGATCTATAAATGGCCAACATGTACATGAAAAGATAACATCACTCCTCATTAGGGAAATGCCAGTTAAACAATGAAGTATCCCCCCAAGCCTATTAGAATGGCCATCATCAAAAAGACGAGATAACAAATGCCAACTTGGATGTAGAGAAAAGGGAATCTTTGGTATTGTTGGTGGGATTGTAAATTGGTACAGCCACTGTGGAAAACAGTATGGGTGGTCCTCAAAAAATTAAAAATAGAACTACCGTACAATCCAGCAATTCCACTTCTGAGAATATATCCAAAGGAAATGAAAACACTAACTCAAAAAGGTGTCTGCACCACCATGTTCCTAGCAGCATTATTTTCAGTAGCAAAGACATAGAAACAACCTAAGTGTCCGTGGATGGGCGAATGGATAAAAGAATTTGTAGTGTATATATATATGTATATACATGCATACGAACATGCATACAATGGAATATTATTCAGCCATTAAAAAACAAGGAAATCCTATCATTTGCAACAACATGGATGAACCTTGAAGGCATTATGCTAAGCAAAACAAGACAGGGAAAGACAAATACTATATGATCTCACTGATGTGTGGAATTTAAACAAACAAACACCAAACTCAGAAAAAGGAATCAGGTTTGTGGTTATATGGATTGGGGGGAGGGGGTCGGTTAGAGGAAGGTGGTCAAAAGATACAAACTTACAGTTATAAGATAAATAAGCATCAGGGATGGAACCTACAACATGATGACTCTAGTTAACACTGCTGTATGCATTATAGGAAAGTTGTTAAGAGAGTAGATCCTAAGAATTTTCATCACAAGGAGAAAAAAAAATTTTTTTTTATTGTATCAATATGAGAGGATGGATGTTAACTAAACTTATCATGGTAATCATTTCACAATACATGTAAATCACACCATCATGCTGTACACCTTAAACTTATACAGGGATGTGTGTCCGTTATTTCTCAATAAAACTGGAAAAATAATTTTTTAAAAGAGGGGAATTACATAATAAAGAGGTCAACTCTGCAAGAAGATGTAATGATCCTACATGCAAGTGTATGCGCTTAGAAACAGACTTAAAGTAAGGGAAGCAAAAACAGCTGATCAGGAGCCTGCCCCTTTTCCCTTTTTCACCTGCCTCCTCTCTAAGGGGCGGGGCCCCAGGTGGGCCCCCGCAGCTTGGCGCGTCCTCTTGGCAACGGGAGAACGTGCAGGGAGGGGCCCAGAGGCGGGGCTTGTTGCGAGCTGCCGCGTCGCGTCTGGGTTGGGCGCGCTGGGGCGGGGCGCGCGGAGTGCGGGCCGCCAGCCCATCCTCGCCCATCCTCGCCCATCCTCGCCCATCCTCGCCCATCCTCTCCCAACTTCTAGAAGGCGAGCAGCCTCCGGTCCTCGCCCAGCGGGAGCTTCTGGGCCGCCAATGGAGAGCCAGGAGTTTTCGGGGTCTTCTAGGCTGTCCGATGGGCATGACATGGCAGAAATATCCACTCGCTCCGAAGCCCTCCAGAAGCCCTTTGTAGTCAGGATATTTGACATGCACAACCAGCCTGCGGAGTCCGAGGAGCCGGGGTTAGCCGAGGAGGCCGGCGAGCAAGACCAGCCAGGCGAGTCAGAGGGGTGTACAGAGTCCCACCAGATCCCCAAGCCCCACAAGCCCTATGAGCTCTACCAACCCTGTGAGCCCCACAGGCCCCCCAAACCCCATGCACCTTACAAGCCTCATCCACCGCGTGAGGCCCGCAAGCCCCATAAGCCCCAGCGGCCCCATGCTCCCCGCGAGCCCCACAAGCCCCACGAAGTCGAGTTGTTTCCCAGAGCTGGCGTGATTATCTCCCCGTCTCTGCTGACCAGATTCCCGCCACGGCTTCTGCCATCTTCCCTGAGAGGTAGGTGTTGGGGGTCCCTCCGGGGGTTCTAATGGGAAGGTTTGCCTGCAAGAAACCTTTTATTTTTTTAATATAAATTTATTTATTTATTTTTGGCTGCACTGGGTCTTCGCTGCTGCACGAACTTTCTCTAGTTGCGGCGAGCGGGGCTGCTCTTCATTGCCGTGCGCGGGCTTCTCACTGCGGTGGCTTCTCTTGTTGTGGAGCACCGGCTCTAAGCACGAGGGCTCAGTAGTTGTGTCACGCGGGGTCTAGAGTGCAGGCTCAGTAGTTGTGACTCACGGGCTTAGTAGCTCCACGGCACGTGGGATCTTCCCTGACCAGGGCTTGAACCCGTGGCCCCTGCATTGGCAGGTGGATTCTTAACCACTGTGCCACCAAGGAAGTCCCCCCTCCCCCCATTTTGTTTTAAAGGAGGATAACACTTGTGTCATTTACCTGCTGTTTTGCAATGCCCTGTCTTTGGACCTCAAGAATCTCTGATAGGAAATTGAGACTCTGGTGATGAAACAATCTCTTCACTCTGCTCTCTCTCCACCTGGGGACTTGCTAGCTGGCCTTGATTAGTCACTGTCACTAGCTGTCCTCGATTAATCACTGTCACTTCTTTTTGAAGCCCTTCTTAAGGCTTCTCTACAGTTAGTCATTGCAGTCCTCTGGGTTGCCACTTTGAACATACCTCTATTATAGCACTTAAGATTTTGGGTTATATCACTATCTTTTTCCTCAGCTAAGGGGAGGGATCCTTGAAGGGAGGATAGTTTTCTCAGTGTTTAGCACATGGTGGTGCTCAATAAATGCTATTACATTGTTAAAGATGTAGTAACAAAACACTCATTGAACAAAAATTCAAACAGTATGTTTACTAAGTGCTTACTATATGTTCAGTCATCACCAAGTTCACAAGCTAACAGGGCTGATGGGACTTTGGTATAAACATCCAGCTCACTTATGGCCTCTCATTGATGACTCCACCCAGAACAATTCCTTGTCCACATTGGGCTTCCAGTTCCTTGGCTGACCACGTTTCATCTCATTTTCTCCCTGACTTGCCTTTATCAGCCTTGATTCTATGGTCTGTCATGTCAGTTGCTTACTTACAACATCTTCACCTCCCCATTGGCTCTTTGGCTGTTCACCGTATTTCTCCTGGGAAAACCTCAACCCTGGTTAAGCCCACCCATCCACCCTCTGCCTACACCTGAGCATCTGACTCTTCCTGTACAAAATCACACAATCATACTGACTGCTTTTATTTCAATTTCATAACCACAGATCTCAGCTGGTCACTTGGCACTGCCTAGCAAGCCCACTTTATTCACCTAATAAATTAGTTCTCCTAATCTGTGAGATGACTAAATGCCTTCTTTACTCTACTCCAGCCTTCACACCTTTGACCCCAAACAGCTGAAGACTTTGCCTCACACTTGAGAAAATAGAAGCAATGTCATGAACTCCCTTATTTTCTTACCACTAATCTATTGCCTTACTCTAACCTGCACCCATGGATTCTGCCTTTTCTCATATTTCAGGGAAGAACTGTGCCTCTTTTTATGAGTGGCAAAAGCCTCCACTTGTGCTTTGGATTCCACTCTTGTCTCCTGAAGACCTTTGTTCCTGCAGTTATCCCCTCTCTCTCCTAACAGCATCAGTCTCTCTCTTTCTAATGAATCAGACCCATGAGCATACACATGTACTCTAGAATCTTCTATCTTTTTTTTTTTAACATCTTTACTGGAGTATAATTGCTTTACAATGGTGTGTTAGTTTCTGCTTTATAACAAAGTGAATCAGTTATACATGTACATATATCCCCATATCTCTTCCCTCTTGCGTCTCCCTCCCTCCCACCCTCCCTATCCCACCCCTCTAGGTGGTCACAAAGCACCGAGCTGATCTCCCTGTGCTATGCGGCTGCTTCCCACTAGCTATCTATTTTACATTTGGTAGTGTATATATGTCCATGGCACTCTCTTACTTTGTCCCAGCTTACCCTTCCCCCTCCCCGTGTCCTCAAGTCCATTCTCTACTAGGTCTGTGTCTTTATTCCTGTTTCACCCCTAGGTTTTTCATGACATTTTTTTTTCTTAAATTCCATATATATGTGTTAGCATACGGTATTTGTCTCTCTCTTTCTGACTTACTTCACTCTGTATGACAGACTCTAGGTCCATCCACCTCGCTACAAATAACTCAATTTTGTTTCTTTTTATGGCTGAGTAATATTCCATTGTATATATATGTGCCACATCTTCTTTATCCATTCATCTGTCGATGGACACTTAGGTTGCTTCCATGTCCTGGCTATTGAAGATAGAGCTGCAATGAACATTGTGGTACATGACTCTTTTTGGACTATGGTTTTCTCAGGGTATATGCCCAGTAGTGGGATAGCTGGGTCGTATGGTAGTTCTAGTTTTAGTTTTTTAAGGAACCTCCATACTGTTCTCCATAGTGGCTGTATCAATTTACATTCCCACCAACAGTGCAAGAGGCTTCCCTTTTCTCCACACCCTCTCCAGCATGTATTGTTTGTAGATTTTTAAAATTTTTTAAATTTTATTATTATTTTTTTAAATTTTTTGCTGTATGCGGGCCTCTCACTGATGCAGCCCCTCCCGCTGCAGAGCACAGGCTCCGGATGCGCAGGCCCAGCAGCCATGGCTCACGGGCCCATCCACTCCACGGCATGTGGGATCCTCCCGGACCGGGGCATGAACCCATGTCCCCTGCATCTGCAGGCAGACTCCCAACCACTGCGCCACCAGGGAAGCCCCTGTTTGTAGATTTTTTGATGATGGCCATTCTGACTGGTGTGAGATGATATCTCATTGTAGTTTTGATTTGCATTTCTCTAATGATTAATGATGTTGAGCAGAATCTTCTATCTTGAAATAACCCTTAACCCCATGTCTTCTTCAGACCCTTCCTTCTCGCACCATCAGCCCCATTTTTCTGCAAGTCACTGCAGAGCTTGTCAAGAGTTATCTGTACTCACTGACTCCTTTTTCTTGCTTGCCATTCTCTTCTCTACCCACCTAGTTAGGTGTCTTTCTCCTCCACTCTACTGAAACTGCTCTAGTTTACTGCCTTTCTCCCACCGCCAACCCTTTTGTCACCTTTTTGTGTGGATATTTCAGTATAGGTGATCCATTTGCCTTCTTAGTTCTTTGACCTCTTCACTTTGAATGATGGGATCCTTCACTGCATCTTAGACACCCACTGCATTAGCCTTTGATAATGTCAATTGCTGTATCATTTCCAAAATGTCTGTTTCAAGCACTCTAATCTCTAAGCACATCTATCTTTCCAGCTCACTTACTCCTCCTTGTACCCTCTCAATTCTTCAGCTTCAAAGGGACCTCTAATCCACTGATGCTATCAAGTGTTCATTATATACCACTTACTTCCTTATGTCCTTCTGTCTCTCCTTACCTTAGCCCATAGTCTACCAATGGAATCACTTCCTTGCAAGTATTAGCTCCCTTGTCTCTCCCTCTTGTCATTCTTGCTTAGTTAAATCCAATTCTTGCCTGCACTTGAAAAGATGCAAAAAAAAAAAAAAAATGATGACAAGGGAAAACAAACAACTGTGTTGACTGATCTTTAAATCCATGACCTTGAACTTCAAGTGTGCTTTCGTTGCTCTCAGTGATTGTGTGGCAATCATACTACATTTCCCTAATCAATTCATTTGCTAACATGGAACCTACCAAACTACCAGGATCTATACATATATACTCTGCCTTTTGTCCTGTTAATAATAGACAAGCTGTCTTCGTTCTTACCAGAGGCCATTCTCTCAACCTGTATGTTGAATCCTATTCCACCTAATTTTAAGCTCTTTGCCCCTAAAATTAGCCCCTCTCTTTCCCACATCATTTTATTTCCCTCTCCACTGGATCATTCCCATGAGCACATGAACATGCAGGAATAACTCCTATCTTGAAGAAACCAAACCTTCCCTTAACCTCATGTACCCCTCCAGATACCACTCCTATACTCTGCTCCTTTTTAGAGGAAAATTCCTCAAAATAGTTTATGAGTTATTGTCTCCATCCTCTCTTCCCATTCTCTTGAGAACCGACTTAAGCTTTTATCCCCTCTACTTAGCTGAAGTTGCTCTTGTTGAGATCACAGTGACCTCTACCTTGCCAAATTCAATGGCTAATTCTTCATCCTCATCTTACTTGTTTGATACATTCACTCCCTGTTTCTTGGAAGTCTTTCTCTACTTGACTTCTGGGATACCACTTCATTGTCATCCTACTTCACTGAATGCTCCTGACTCAGTTTCCTTTGCTAGATCATCTTTGTTTTCCCAGCCTCTAGGTTGAAGTGGGCGATGTCTCAGTTCTCTCAGATTCTTTAGAACTTTCCTTGCTCCCTGGATGATGTCATCAGTTCTGTGGCTTTAACTGTATGCTGATGACTTCCCAAATTATCTCCAGCTTCCATTTCTTTCTTGAGCTCCAGAGTTTTGTAACCAATTGTCTCTTTAACAACCCTACTCGAATATCTAGTAGAAATGTAAAATTTAACATATCCATAACTGAACTTTTACTTCTGCCCCCAAACTTGCACTTCCTCCACTGTTCCCCATTTTAGCAAATGGCACCACAATTCATTCATCCAGGTGCTCAGGTCAAAAACCTTGGAGTCATTCTTGACACCCGTTTTTCCCTTACACTTTGCCTCCAAGCCATTAGCAAACCCTAATTCTTTTTTTTTTTTTTTTTTTGGTACACGGGGCCTCTCACTGTTGTGGACTCTCCCGTTGTGGAGCACAGGCTCCGGACGCGCAGGCTCAGTGGCCATGGCTCACAGGCCCAGCCGCTCTGCAGCATGTGGGATCTTCCCGGACCGAGGCACGAACCCCCGTCCCCTGCATTGGCAGGCGGATTCCCAACCTCTGCACCACCAGGGAAGCCCGACAATGACCATTATTAACATCCAAGCATTCATCACCTTTGTAAGCCACTATCATCTCTTGCTTGGTC